TGGGGAGCTGGGGTTTCGTGAGGAGCTTGGGCCTCCCCGCCCATCAGACAAGAAATCAGCAACCCCAAGCATCCGAAATCCTCACTGCCCTTCCTTCCACCCTCCCGCACACCCTCGAAGCTAGCTTCACACGCATCGCGTAACGCCGTGACCACCGCCCGTTCCCTCTCTTGGCCCGCCAACCCCTCCGCCTCCCTCTCGAAACCCGAGGAGAGGTAAGCAGCCTCCTCCCACTGGCCCGTCCATCAGCCCCTGTCCATCCTGCCGCACGCGGGCCTCGCTCTCGGAGCCCGCCATCCGGCAGTCAGTGCCAGTTCGGTGTGCCAGCTCGGTGAGCCGTCTCGGCCCCAGCACGGTGCGGACGTTGGGGTCGCCGCCCCCGTGCCTGCGGCGCTCTAGCGACGTCAGGGACAGCGCAGCCGGCAAGCAAGCGCGGGGCTGAGCAGACGGGGTGCGTGGCCGCCAGCCACCACTCCGTTGGGAGTACAGATTAGACGCTTGTCGTGCCGCCCGAGGACCTGGAAGGTCGGAGGATGGGCGGCTAACCGCCGTGTCGGAGGCCTCTCTCTCGATTACCTGAGAGCGATGAGAGGCTGTCTAGGGGCGTCTGTCGGATCCAGGTCAATCTTGTGCCTGAACGAGCCTAGCGAGATGTGCCCCTCCTTCTCTGGCCCGAGAGCATATGGGGGAACGTACGTATATGCATCTCAGTTCCGACCTCACCGCAGACGACATATCAAGTAGAGTTGCAGGGACCATTCTTACCGTAGTCCAAATCCCGCCCGCAGCACAGAAAAGGTACAGCCGTACAGCTCCCCGGCACGCATCCCAGCTCCGGAACCTCGGGCCCGACGGGGATGGCCCCGGTGCTGTTACAGGAGCACCAGCCCGTGCTTGGGCCTTGGAAGTGCTGGAGGCGGGAAGTGGGTGGGGTCGTGTAGTGTAGGGGCACGCGGGCGACGGGGCCGGGTGTCGAGATGAGCAGATAGCGATGGATGCCTGGATGCTTTGGTGCTCGGCACGAAAAGGGGCTGGCACGAAAAGGGGCTGGCTGGCTGGTACGTTCATCTGCCTTTATTGTACGAGTACTGTATTCATCACTACTCTTCCCCCACTCGAGGCTTCGGCAGACGTTGCCTGCACCTTCTTACCCCGCAAAGCTCGTGGTGCGGGAACAAGGTCAGGATGGGCATCACCTACTAATAATAATACATGGCATATGCAGTTGCGCTTCACCACACATGCATGTATGCACTTGGCATTACTCCGATGCAACATCTTCTCCCTTAACCAAAGAGGTCAAAAGCTTTCCCGAGCCGTCGATACTCCCTCCCTCTCACCCTAGTGCGTCCTCTCTCGTCAAGCTCATTCTTCGTCATCATTTCAACCATCTTCTATTCCCCTTACACCCTTGGTTCTGATATACATCATACCCTATGCAGACAATACGGATAAGTAATAGGCTGATTCTCCTCAAGATTGACTCCGCGGACCCGAAATCTTTTACATTCAAAGCCTTCCCACCTCACTGCTGATCATCGAAGCCAACTCCACAATCCCGTCAGCATCTTCTTCCTTCCACCCTTCAAAGGGCTGAAACAAGACCCCCTCAGTCTAGATACTACGTCGGGTTACCCCTCTTTCTTGAGGCTGCCGCACGACGACGTAAGTAGTACATCTATTGACCGCACTGCTTCTGATAGTAGCATGACTCTTGCTTCTATCCTTTTTTTTTTTCCAATTCTATTACTGTATTACCACAGCTTGGTCGCGATCATCTCTCTCTCTGTTTTACTCGTCTTTTCATCCTGTTTACTCTTGTGCATCTTTCCATCCTCTTCATCTTTATCGTTTGATTCCTTTGTTTTCTATCCCCCCCATCCAATTCTTTAGGTATCCCCTCCCCCCACCAGACCATAAGCACAGCACGTATTGGTATAGTGATCACCGTGGCTGATAATATGAAATCAATTCTTTTTCCCACTATTGTTAGACCCTATAAACTGTCCTCGTGATGGTTAAATGGTATGCGCGCACGCAATGAACACTAGACTGAAAGATATAAACGCAAAAACAAAGCAATACAAAGTAGAGCAGAATAAGTCAAGCGCCTTCGAATGCCTCTGGACCATCATGGTATATATCAGGATATACCAGATGGCGATAGATGTAACAGTACCGAACAAAACAAAAAAGGAAATTTTCATGTCCGATCCGAAAAAAATGCGTACCAAACCGCCCCGTTCTTTCTTCTTTTCTTCCTCTCTCTCTCTCTCTCTCCCTGAATCTTGAGGTTCTTAACATGCATGATCTAGTAATACATCCATGCATGTTTTCCTCTTTGCAACAACGCACCTACATACACCCCCTGTAAATAAGGTCAAAATTGTCCTTCTCTAAGTAATGGTTTCTTTTTCTTTTTCTCCCTCTTTTCTTTCTTTCGTGAATCATGCCCTCTTTTTCAGAGGGTCCAATCATGTCTTGTTGCAATCGTCATTGACGTTGCGACGGTTCCGCCTGTGCACTGCGCCACCACGGAAAAGAAGGCTGCACACCAGCTGCTAACATCCAATGACTATGTACGCCAAAGAACTCTCTTTTTCTTTTTTTTCTTTTTCGCTTCCGGGGGTTGTTTTTTTTTTTGGTTGAAACTCCGGGGGAACTCCGGGGAGTTCGAACAGTGTACAGCGTAGGAAGAGGAGTATGATGAGAGGGGGGGGGGGGGGGGAGAGAGTCGATACCTGAATGAGAGTTGAGAGATGCCTGAGTCACCCAGCCAGTAGCGGCGGGGGTCGACGCGGCCATTGCAATCTCCCCCTACCCCCTCATACATGTATGTCTCCCCCCCTTCTATCGTTGAGGCGTGGGGGGTTCCTCCTCCATCATGCATGCATTCTCAAGCATGTTGGTCCACTTGCCGCTTGATCCCGCATGGCTGTGCTTGAGGTGCTGTCTGAAGTGATCGGCCCTGTAGAACTTCTTGGATGAATTACACTCGCGAAACTTGTGCGTGTCGTCGAGGTGGTGCACCCGCTCGGCCCAATCCTGCTCCGTGGCGACCCTGTTGCCCTTGGCGTCGACGCCCGAGCGATCAAAGTTGACGCCGCAGTACCCGCAGGCATCCGTCTCGCCTGGCCGGGTCGAGGATTCGTGAAAGGCCCGGGAGTAGCCCTGGAGGGCCGAGCATGACCACGAGTGACGTCGGACGTGCAGCGAGTTCTGGTGCCTCTCGGCCTCGTTCTTGTTCTTGAATCGGTTGCCGCAGTATGCGCAGTTGTACTGCTTCTCCGAAGCATGTGCCCTAGCAGGAGTGACGCCGGTCAGCACACCTTGTCCCGTACCAGCAAAACCAAGATCCAGGCGGGGGGGCGCGGGGGACTCACTGTAGCTCTTCCTGAGTCTCGAACCTCTTGGGCTTCTTCGGGCAGCACTCGCACATTATGAAGGACTGCACCTTGGCCCCGGCGGGCTTCTGCAGCTCGGGCAACCTCTTGGGTGCCGCTGCGGCGTTGCCGGAGGAATGGTTCCGCGTATGCACGGCGGACGGCAGTGCACGCATCGAGATGGACCCCCTAGGGCTGGGGTTGAGCGACATGGGCGTGGGGTAGGGTGAGTTGCCCGAGGTGGGCGATACGCCACCGGGGGAGTAGGCGCCGCCACCGGGAGAGCGATGCTCGTAGACTGTCGGTGTCGTCGTCGTGGAGGGGCCCATGGACATTGAGACGTACGAGTCGGATCGCGACAGGGCCGGCATGGTCGAGGCTGTCGGCATCTGGGGAGGCGGCGGCAGCGTAGCCGTGCTGGCCAGGCGGGCCGTGGGCGAGAGGCGGCTGCCGGTCTCGTCGGTCGTAGACGAAGGGCTGGTGGGCCCGTGTTTGCGTCCGCTGCTGCCGTAGACGTCGTCGACGTGGAGCCTCTTGTAGGGCGGCGGGATCTCGTCAATCTCCATGTCGTCGGCGCCGACCATGTAATCGTAGGTGCCCTGGGACGAGGCGTCGTCGCTGTTGTTGCGGTAGGTTCGGTAGCGGGGGGAGCGGTCCAGATCGAGTCCCGTCTTGGACGGTCGGCGGTGGTCTATCGACAGCCGGCCGTAGGGGGCATGCCGGGGAGATATGGGAGGGAAGTCGGTGGTGAGCTTGGGCGGGAGCACGCCGGGATCGAGGGGATGTCTGGTGCAGCGGGATAGGAGTTCGTCGGCCGAGATGTTTGTGAAGGATGAGGAGGACGACAGCGACGATCTGTCCAGGGTCCGTAGCGGGTTGAGCTTCTCCTTCATGTCGTTGCCGTGGGCGTCGGCGGCCGTCTGGAAGGATAGCGAGTTGTGTAGGACGAAGCGAGGGGGGAACGAGCTGAGTGACCTGTTTGGTGCCGCGTGTTAGCCGTCCATCTGCTCCTGGCCGGGTCTGGCTCTCGTGGGCGTGAGAGGAGAGCTCGCTCACCTTTCGTTGGAGGAGAGGCTGTGATAGCCCTCGTCCTGCGAGCCGGTGGGGCTCTTGCGACGCCTAGATCGATCGTCGAGGAATGACGAGGCGACGCTGCTGCCGTAGGCGCTCCCGGCCGACGAGGGAGCACGAGAGTGCTCGTGGACTCCTCGCAGCACATCGTCGTTGTTGCCGTGGCTGCTGGGGTAAGGCATGGTGGTGGTGGTACCTGAGAATGGGTATTTCGGGGGTGGTAGAGGAGGAGGGACGGTATGATGAGGTTCGACGCCGGGTATAGCCATGGAGTGACTCGAACCGTATGATGGCATGTCGTTATTCTGATGGGAGGTGGGAGCGGAGGCTATATGATTAGGAACGGCGGGAGCAGCGCCCGCGTACTGGGGCGGGTAGGCCATTGTTTAGGGCTGGTCCGACGTCTGAGCTGACTCGTATGCGTGAGAAAGGTGTGACCTAGGAGGCGACAGCTGGTGGCGGAAAGGCGATGGAGCCGAACGGTAACGGCCAGACGGCTACAAGGCTACATAGAATTTCGAAGACGGGGCCTCTCTCGGTTCAATAACGGGACACACGACGATGGAGTTCCAGTTGGTAGGGTTTGCGAGAGACAGCCAACAGCCAGGGGGGGGGTGTGGAAGAATCTGCTCTCGCCGTTGCTCCGTGGCTTATTCGTACTTTCCGCAGCTCATTCCCGACCAGCTGGTGCTGGTCAAGGCACGATGGTGGCAATGGCTTCTCGAGATCTCTTTGGTGATGGGCGTTTAACGAGGTCGGTCGGGGTAGCCGACGAATGACGATGCAGAATGCACGGCCAACGTCAATAGGGGGGAGACGACGGGGGGTTGCAAGCTGAAAACCACATGGGAAAAAAAAAATATGAAGGTGAAAGCATCCAGTGAGAGAGAAAGGCGTAGATGGGAAAAGGGAGGTGGCGGATATAAAACAGAAAGAAAGAAAGGAAAGAAAAAAAAGAGAGAAGATCTCGAGAGAGGAGCTTTGTAGAAGGAAAAGAAAAAAGGTATAGAGTAGTAGTAGTCTCGGTAATAATCGTTCTTTGAGGTGTTGGTCGTGTACGGAGAGTTTGTCGAGTTGGTTGATTGGCGGTGGTGTTACTCTCTCTTCTCCAGTGGAAGCGCCGCCAAGTGCAAGAGAATGAAGAAGATAAAATAAGAGTAAAATAAAATAAAATAAAACTCGTCGCGAAATAACACGCAAGAGAACAGTAAACTACATATGTAGGACGACGTCGTGTGCATAGATATATATATATATATATATATATATATATACACATATAATATACAGAGTGTATGTACGGTCCCGTATGTAGAGTATAAATGATAAAACAACTTCCTCTCTGCAGAAGAAGACAAGGGGAATTCGAAAAGAAGAAAGAGTTACACACAGACACACCAATGACAAGGGCAGGG